TTTTTTTTTTTTGACACGGCTTTTTATTTTTTTCCCTCAGGAGACCAGTCTCATTGAATTGCAGAAATCCCATGTTTCATCTAATTGTTTCTCCATGGTGTTATTCAGCCTGCTCCCCTATTTCCTGTATTTCCTGTATATTGACACTTATGTTGAGAGGCTCAGAGTCAAGTTAAATACTTTTAGGAAGAATATGATGCTGGGTGTCTCATACTCCATCCTAAGAGGAGACACACAACAGGCCATCGCATTAATAACACCGCTAAGCTTGATCAGTGTATTGAGGTGGTGACACCAAATCTCTCTGTTGCAAAGGTACATTTGCCCCTGTTGTTATCAGCATTGTGATAACTTCCTCATTGTCCTCTCAACAACCTTTTAGGTGACGGTTTTTGTAGTCGCTGATGGTCTCTGCAGGACTACCCATTATTTCATTGGGTTTCTTACTAGTTTTCATTTACCTTTTTAAAATTTCTTACAGGCAAACTTACTTTGTGATGTACATGTATGTGAGTTCTGACAAATACAGAGTTGTGTATCTACCACAATAATCCAGACACAGAATAGTTACATCACTTCAAAAAATGCCCTTGCGCTGTCCCTCGGGGTATCCTAAATGAAGTTTGAGTACGAAGCCCAGGCTCAACAGCTTTGCTCCAACTGTACTTGTCCCATAACATTTCCTGCCATGCCTAGTAGTGATTAAACCCCTCTGTGCATGGGAATAAAATCATGAAAACTTGTTTTAATAGAGGCTCTGGGGCCCTACCCCCAAAAGTTAGGACTCCAAGGCTGAGGCATGCTGTTAGCGATTGTGATACTAGTAATCCCTGGAGGAGACACGATGTAATGATACGAGAACGGCCCTAACTCTCTACCTTTCCGTCTATCCATCCTCTTTGCAACGTGACTTTGCAGCTCCTGCCATGAGGAGGTGGCTTCTATTTCTGCATCCCAGGAGTCTGGGCGACGACTTGTTTCAGCAACAAGTACAATGGAATTGACAATGCACCAGCATAAGCCTCATTTTCACTCTCTCAGAGCCCTTGGGCTGAGGCCTGGTGGATGAGCCTGGGCCAGCAGGCTGGATGAGGAGGGGTGCATGGCCTCATCTCCACCATCGCCTCACACGATGGTCACTCAGGTGAGTGAATGGGCTCATCCGGGGGCAACCAGCTCCAGGTGACCCACCGCAGACACCTTAGCACAGAGGCCAAGCCAAGATTGCTTAAGCTTGGCCAGCTGACCTATATGCTCTAGAGCAAGAAAAAATATTTATTGTTTTTAGTTGTGTGTGTGTCTGTGTGCGTCCGTGAGTGTGTGTGTGGTGATCTGTGACATGGTAATAGGTGACTTATACACCATAATTCTGATACGCTTCACCCAAGAAATACTGACTTATCTCTTCTCCATTTCTCTCACCGCCTTCCTCATTTAGGCTTTCAGTTCTTGCTCGGACCACTGCTGTCACTCAACCTCCATGCTCACTGCTGCTGCTGCTGACTGTATTCTTTACAGTCAGAAGGCAAGTTGTCATAACTGATGCATTCTTATCATCTAGCATAATGCCTGGTCCCCCAATAGGTGCTCAGTCCTTCTTTGTGGTGCCGACAGATTCGTAAAGCACGGCTCTGATCACGTCCCTGGGCACACAGGACTCTACCGGCATTCACACCACATTCCAGGTCCATTTTCCACTTGGCCTATTTAATTCTAGGACCTCTGGGATCAGGCCACAGCCTTGCTTCCCACTCTTCTTCCCAGTCTTCTCTTAATGCTCCCTTCGAAAGTGAGGGCTGATGGACCACGCCCTTGCTGCTCGGTCTACGGGACACTGACTCCTGCCTGGAAGGCCTGCCTCCATCTCTGCAAACTCCACACGTCCTGGAAGGTCCAAGTCTTCTGGGAGCGTCTGGTAGCCGTGGTTAAGGAAGAGTTCCCCCCTTTCCCCTGCCTCTACCAGTTGGCCTGAGCCTCTCGGAGCTGAGCACTCCCACCTGAGCACCTGACACGATGGTTAGGTAACCACATGCCACAACCATTCCTTGTGGCATCTAGCAGGCATCTCCTCTACCTGAGATTGCGAGCTTGTTGAGGGAGAGTCCATCTTTTACCTCTCTGTATTCCCTGTGGTACCTAACACAGTCCATGAAACACAGCAAGACCTTAATAAATGCGTATTGAATGAATGAATGGATGGTTTTTCATCACTAGCAAAACAACAGTAACAGTAATAAGCCAAACTCACAACAAAGATGGCAAAAATAAATACAGTGCTTTTCATATATTGGTCTGTAAAAGAATCTTCTGGAAAGCCTGCTCAAAATACACATTCCTAGGCTTTGTCCCCAGAGAGACTGGTTCAGTAGGTCAGGAGTGGAACCCTAAGTTTGTGATTTGGGGGAAGGTTTGTGGGCAATATTTTGATATAGAGTGGTATATACCTGCTTTATAGGTATGGATTCCAAGGCAAACTCCTTCCTTCATGCACCTATGAAATTTTTTTTTTAAGTTTCCTGACTTTAATGCCAAAGCATTGTGTGCAGTGAACCTATAAAAAGAACAGCTTTAACAATACATACATAGTCTGGCACCTCATTAGCTTAGGTTGCTGGGAATATGGCATCACACTGCATTCTTTGTAATGACAATCTACACATATTTTTTTTTATCTACATACCCTTTTTATAACCTATTTAAAGTTTAATATGTGACAAATAGTCCTTTTTCAGACCGTCTCACCGTGTGATGCACGCTTTAAAAAAAGAGAAGGGAGCCAAATTCCTACCTCGGTCCCAGAGGCTGGCTCTTAACGCTCTCTCCAGTTGTTCCTCTTCACTCAGTCCTGCTGTGTAAGCGTCATAGTCCCTGGGTACTTCTTCAGAGTAACCTGGCATGCCGTGGGGGTAATAATCCTGATATCTGGAGTAGCCTACAGTCACAAGGAAAAGGTTACAGAACATTGCCATGTACTGTTCTTTTCACTCTCTCTATTTCATTAAGCAAAGACAGTAAAATGACCTACGTCATCAATCTGAGCACAGTGATACTTGCCAAAATAAAACCAGACGACAAATGGAGAATGCCCCCGTGGGGGTGGGCAGTCATAGGTTTTATCACTGTTGTACCCACGGTCCCCAGCGTGAAACTGGAGTGGATTCTTACAGTTCAGAGCTACACAATCCTTGGGGAATGTTCTGTGAAGTGCTCACGAAAGTCAAGGGAATGGCTGACATGATAGCTGATAGAGCCTTTCTGTCTGTGGCTCCATACAATGAGAGGCAGACTACCATTTAAGGCAGAAACCACAGGATTTCTGTGCTGGGTATGATACTTTGGACACTAATAACTACAGTGAGATATACAAGGCAGTGTCTCTGTAATTATAATTGTATGTCAAAGAACATGGCTTCTATCAATGGTCCTTTCAAGAAATTGGTTGCTGGGTAAAACGAGAGAAGAAACAACCTGCTCATTAAATGATGCTTTAAGTATCAGACTTACAAAGCCCATTACTAAAGGTCAATTACAGAGCAAAGTTCACTTCTGCAAGGGGTTTCCATCAATCTTAAGTTAATTTGAGTTTATTCCTCACATTTCCTTTAACTGCCCACTTTTATGTAATTTGTTTGGAAGAGAATTTTTTCCCTCTAAAGATTACCAATCTAATTCTGGTATACTAAGAGAGAAGTTAATAATAGTCTGTTTATCCCTTCTTTCCTTCTATTATCATAACCTTTGGAGGGGAGTTTTTAAATGTTTAATTAATGTGCTTTTGGTTGTTGATGAAAATTCCTACCCTGTATCCTTAAGTCCTGTGTCATATGTCTCCATATCATCCAACATAGTACATGCCTGAGTTTAAACTTCTTATTGTTTTAGTAAGAGTACGGGGGGAAAAAACCTGACAATCAAGCTAAAAAAGAGGAACGTTGTGGGGCAGAATCTGGTTAATTAAGATTTCATATTCAGAATATTTGATAATTGGTCCTGAGGCTATTTGAAAATTTACTTTTGTGTTGGTTATAAATGAAATGCAAGATTAAAAGGGAAACAGTTTAAGTATCTCCCATGGGAATTTTCAGGCACTCAAAAAGTCTTTATTTTCACAGAAACAGTGAAATGATAATAAAACACACTGATCTAGTTTCAGCTGATAATCTAATGTAATGATACACATTTATACAAATATTTGTCATGCAAAGTATATGTGTCTATTCATTATGTTTTCATAGCAGCTTTAAGGGGATATAATTGACATATGATATAATTCACCAATTTAAAGTATACACCTCAATGGCTTTTAGTGTATTCATGGAGTTGTGCCATCACCACAACCAATATTAGAACATTTTCATCACCCTAAAAAAGAAACCTGTACCCGTTAGCTATCGTCCCCTGTCCCTCCCAGCCCTAAGTAACCACTAATCTACTTTCTGTCTTTATAGCTATGACTATTCTGGACAATTATATAAATGGAATCATGTAATATGTGGTGATCCATGTCTGGCTTATTTCATTTAGCATAATGCTTTCAAGGTGCATCCACGTTGTAGCATGAATCCGTACTTCATTCCTTTTTGTGGCCAAATAATATTCCATGTGTGATTATATCACATTCATCAATTGATAGACATTTGGTTTATTTCCACCTTTTGACTCTTGTGAATAACATTCATGGGCAAGTCTTTAAATGGACACATGTTGTCATTTTTTTTTTTTTTTAACATTTAGTTGTGAGAGACAGAGAGAGAGAGAGAGAGAGAGAGAGAGAGAGAGAGAGAGCATGAGCGGGGGAGGGGCAGAGAATGAGAAGGTGACACAGAATCTGAAGCAGGCTGCAGGCTCTGAGCAAGCCATCAGCACAGAGCCTGATGTGGGGCTCAAACCCACAAGCTGTGAGATCACAAGCTTGTGAGATCACAAGCTGAGCCGAAGTCGGATGTTCAACCGACTGAGCCACCCAGGCGCCCCGACATGTTATTTCTCTTGGGTATATACCCAAGAGTGAGATTCCTGGGTCATACGGAACTTCTATGTTTAACCATGTGGAAATGCCAGAATGTTCTCCAAAGAAGCTGTGCCATCTTAAATTTACACAAAGCAATGTTTATGGGCTCAGATTTTTCCAATCTTCACCAATGCTTCTATCTATCTTTGTAATCATAGCCATCCTACTAGGTGTAAGTGGTATCTCATTATGGTTCTGATGATTAATTACACTGAACATCTTTTCATGTGTTTATTGGTCATTTGTATATCTTCTTTGGAAAGCAGTCTATTCAGAGTCCTTGTCTACTCTTACTGATTATTACAATACTCTTCTACCTTGGTACTGTTTTACTACATGTCCTGGAAAGTCACACACAAAATGAATGATTTAAGTAAACATTAAATAAAAATGTTCAGGATTTTGGGAATTAATTCTGACAAGCTTTGCTTCTAAAGTAGTAAAAAATTAGTGGAAATTTACTAAATACCTCCAATGGCCCAACTTCCACATTGTCTCTCATGTTTCCCATGTCAGAATACTAACATTATGGTATTTAAATTTTTTTTTAAGGTTTTATTTATTTTTGAGACAGGGAGAGACAGAGCATGAATGGGGGAGGGTCAGAGAGAGGGAGACACAGAATCCGAAACAGGCTCCAGGCTCTCAGCTGTCAGCACAGAGCCCGACGCGGGGCTCGAACTCACGGACTGCGAGATCGTGACCTGAGCCGAAGTCGGACGCTTAACCGACTGAGCCACCCAGGCGCCCCTAACATTATGGTATTTAAAACAGAAAAGGATACGAGCAAAGTGCCCGAATCCTCACAATAGTGTAGGACTGAAGTGGGATCTGGATTCAAGTTTAAATATGGACACCTTCCTCAAACTGGTCTCTACTCAACTTTCCTATGAAAAAAACTGAGCTCCCACTGCTATGTTGGGGAACACCCACTAGCAGGTTTTATATCCTGAGAGTAAAGACTGCAGCAGTGTTACAAATGCTTTCCTGAATTCTCACCAAAACAACAGCAACAACAAAACCTTCCACATAAGGGCAAACAGTTAAAATACAGTCAGTATGTCTGCTTCACGTAGAACCAAAGACAGGGGCAACTTCCAAAACATAAGGGAATACTTATGGATAAGTCATTAAATACCATGGCATGCTTTAGCAATCCCTGAACAGAGAGACTGCCCAATTCTCTGGGAGTGCCAACTACTTTACTGCAACAGAAAGAAGCATATTGGGCACTTTCCCATATGGCTCATTACCACTTTCAAACCACTGTGGAAAGTTATTCTGTTATAGAAGGTCTAAGCAGCATTTCTACCTATCTACCTTCGAAAATGTTCAGCTAATTCAAAACCCAAAATAACCCCAAAGCACTGAATACCCATTTATACAGATATCAGAATTACTGCATATATCTATAGAGTTTCAGTTACCACGTAAATTTGCTACAATTTGAGACAATGTTTTCTTGACATAGAAAAACATTTTTCTTCATGTTGTTTCTTAGTTAAAAAACAACCCAGAAGTGCCTGAACGAAATAAAGTCTACAACTCTAAACATCTGAATATTATAAAATCTAATTTGGTACTTGTCAGACAAAACATAGGGTGAAAAAGGAAAAGCTTTAGTAAGTTAAGTCAGAAAGACTAGTGTGGTTAAAGGTTCTCTATCATCAGTCATAAATCATCAAGAAGACTAAAACTCCCATCAATATCTATTATAATGAGAACAGGTCTCCTAGGACAAAAAATTTTCTTCAGCTGTTCCACTGGCCCAATCAGATATTTTTAAATCTTCATAATAAACATGGCTGGAAAAACCCAACAATCAAACACTTAAGATAAATAACTTTAAATTATATCCTGCAATGAATACCAGTTTAATATTCTTCTGTAGCTATATACTTTGGCTCTGTAGTAAAAGAAATTCTGGTTATCATTATTCTATTAACTACTCCATCTGTTCCTTATACACATACCAGGATTTCATGGCAAAAGAGATCAAGAAACACCACCAAGATTAGAAAAATTGGTAACAGCTTTTTAAACATTCATGAGGTTCTTTGACCTATAAAGACTCTTCCAGCTAAGGACGGCCATATTAAAAATAAATCATTACTTGTAAGAGATACACATGCTCTCATACAAGTTCCCTAGATGACCATTAGCATGGCCACCTGGCCTTATGTAGTTCTGCTTTTGAAGAAATCCAGTCACTTCAGAGGAAGGAATATAAATATGGTAATCTTACAGGGGATAAGAGAGAAAGGTAAAAGAGGCTTTTATTTTTGCCCTTAATTCTCTGGTCTGTGTGTCTGCTCTGTGCATGCCTCTTCCAAATGAAGGAGGAAAGGAGCAGGTTTCCCTTTTTACTATTTTTTTTTAATAAGTGCCAAAAAAAAAAAAAAAAAGAGGAAAGAGAAGACAGTAAGGGGAACTGCCCTATTTCGTTAGGATAAATCAGCAGAATGTCTGGTCCACCTCCTATCCCTGTACGATAGAAAAAGCAGAGGCTAGGAATCGGTGAGTGGCACTTTTGGTCCTGGTTTTATCACTAACTAGCTGTATGACTTTAGTCAAATTACTTAACATTCCTAAACTTCAACTTCCCAGCTGTCACACAAGACCTTAGGACTAGGGAATCTACAATAGTTTAAGACATACATGTCTGTGCACAAGTATATTCTTATTATTCTCTTTGTCCAGAGGAACATTCCTGTTACTTTTGGGGATTTAACAAATCAACCAGGAGAAAGGCCATTTTTCCTCTACCGATGCCTAGTGTTAGGGGCCATGTTCTCTGCCAAGTAGAGGGGATAAAGTCAACAGAAGTGAGAAATCACAATGGGAGAGAGGACCAAAATGGGTCTTCCTGTCCAACCCACCTCTTCCTAGTTACACGGGCCAATAAAGCTCTTATAATTAAATCAGTGTAAGCTGGTCTCCATAACCGACAGATGAAAGGAATCAATGCTCTTCCAAATGAGTATATTTATCAGCTTAGTCAGTAACTCTTCATTGCACTTATCTTTAGGTGAGTCCACAGACAGAGGGAGGTGAGCTGGCACTCCCCAACACCTGTTCCTCTCCTGCACCAAGACCACAGTTGTAACATTTTAAGCATTCAAATTAGCACAGGCAAAAGCCTCAGAAGTGAAATCTTTTCTTGGGGCAGCAACAGTATTCACTTCTATGGTTCCCAAGTCTATGTAAACCCAATCATCTAAGCCTATGATTTTTGTTCTTGATTTCATTAAAACCACCTGGGTAGTTAAGAAAAAAAAGTGCAATTCCCTGTATCTGTCCTCATTCTGATTTAATTTGTCTTGGATGAATTCAAGGCCTGGATATACTATAAAAACTCCTCAGGTGCTTCATATGTATAGCCAGGATTGATAATCATGATCCAAACCTTTATAACTACATCAAACACAGAGCTTGAATATAACTCCAATAGTATCACTCCACTGATTAAATCCTCCAGTGGCACTCTGACACATTCTGGATAATCTCAAACAGGCTCTTTAGTAAAAGCCTGATAATCCCTTTCTTCCCATTGTTTTGCTTAACTTCTACTTATTAATTCAAGACCCATTCTCCACTTCCTCTGAATAACCTCCACCAACTGCAATCTTACTCCTCCTTCTCAGGCTGCACACTGAATGCATCACGCTAATACTGTTGAAATGGATTTCTACCTCTGCTAGAAAGGGTAACTGGAACTGAACTAGCCCTTCCACCATACTCAAGTAGAAAACTGGAGAAAAATATATGAAACAAATAGACATTCTGAAATACAACAGACATTGTATAACAGGCAATACAAGATTTTGAGCCTTGAGAGAAAGGAAATAAGCCTGTAGGTGCTTCCCGGACTATGGTACAGGGAAAGGAGACATGAGCAGGTGCAGCAGGGTCCTCGTGATGAACTGACATGTGCAGGGCAGAGTATAGCAAAGGAGAAAACTAAATGTACAGAAAAACCTTCAGAAATCTGCATAGGTCCTCTGGAGATTTGGCTGAATTATTAAGCCAGGCATGTGTGGGTGAAATACCATGAAACCAAGGAAAGAATGATGGAGATCTACAAGTTGACCAATTCTTAGAGCTCAGGCAGGGCTGGAAGATCTCTGCTTCCCAACCAACCAGAACAGAGAGCCCTTGCTAAACAAAGGCCATTCAGGAGAGACCCCAGAAAAGTGATACCTCAGTTGTAGCACAGAATTAGCCATAGAATAAGAGTTATTTTAGAGTCACCTTAAAGAACTTAAAAACAAGTGCCAGAGGGATCAAGCTGATCACCAAGAAACTTAACTCTGTGTCAGAACAAAGTTTAGTTTTCTCTGAAATAAGACAAATTCAACACCGCAAAATACACAATGTCTAGTATCTAATCAAAACTTACCAGACAAACAAAAATTGTGACCCACAACCAGGAGAAAAATCAGTGTGTATTGTAACAGCTATATATATATATATTACATATATATTTATTTATGAGGGGGAGAGAGAGAGAGAGGAGGCACAATTAGGAGCCAGGGACTTTGAACATAAATATTATAGCTATGCTTGGGATTTAAAGAAAAACATGAATATAATGAGAGAAGACACGAAAGACAGAGAAGAGAACGAAATAGGACTTCCAGAGCTGAAAAATACAATATGTGCGTGGAAAAATTCACTAGACAGGATTGACAGCAAACTCGACCTTGTGGAAGAATCTGAACACACAGCAATAGAAACCATCCAAACTGAAGTCCCCACGTACCCAATTACACAGCGTCTCAGATTTTTGTAAGACAAAATGAAGCGATCCAACATTGGTGTGACTGGAAATCAGAAAAGATGGGGGATGTTCTTTAGTAAAAAAGCTGGAAAAATGGATTACCAAGAGATCTGAACTAGAAGGAAATGTTTAAGAGAATTCTTGAGGCAGAAAGGAAATGATAAAAGATGGAAATTCGTATCTACATAAAAGGAATCTCCTATTTTTGTGAAGTAACTCGCACAAGCCCTGGGTCCATCTCTGAGCTAAGTATGTGATGAACAGACCCAAGGGGGGATTAAAAACAAAAAAAAAAGCAGGGGCACCTTAGTGGCTCAGTCAGTTAAGCATCCGACTATTGATTTTGGGTCAGGCCACGATCCCAGGGTTGTAAGATTGTGGCCCATACTGAGCTCTGTGCTGAGCCTTGAACCTGCTCAAGTCTCTCTCTCTCTTTCTCTCTCCCCCCTTCTGCCCCTCCCCCTCTCATGCACTCTCTCCACTCTCTCTCAAAATAAAGAAATAAATATTTTTTTTATTTAAAAATTTAAAAAAATGCAAAGGCTTTAAAAACTGAACTGCTACATAACCCGCCACACAAATATCAAATTAACCCATGAGAGGTACATGCATGAGAATGGATCAAATAGCACAGTAGAAGATCTGAAAACTGAATTGACATTGGAACCTAATCACCTACAGAAGGAGAGACAGAATTTGTGTTCTAAACCTGAAGAGGGTGACTGCCTGCACAAACAAAAATGTCAATATTTTATAGGCGATGTTCACAGGATCTGGAATCTCACAATAGTCAAAAAAGTCACCATCAAAATTACTGGAAATCCCAAACTAAAACAAAATGGAAGATAGTGACTAATGCTCAGGATTAAAAGACAATCAACAGATGTCAGCCCCATGAGCAGACTCAGAGATTGGAATTACCAGACAGACTATAAAGACGATCCAATGACCAATGACCATGCTCCATGAGATAAAGTGAACACTCTTGAAATGAATGGAAAGATAGTTTTCAGCAGAGATAGAAACCACAAAAGAGAACCAAATGGAAAGAGTAGATGTGGTATTGTTAAAAGCCGCTGGGTGGGTTCAACAGCAGAATGGAGAGTACAGAGGAAAGAGACCATGAACTTGAAGATAAATCAGCAAAAATTATCCAAGGTGCAGAACACAAAGGGAAGAAGATTGGGGGGGGGGAAGAAAAGGAGC